TTATTTATCAGCACAAATAAACACACACACACACACACACACACACACACACACACACATATCCATACATATATTCCTGTAAGGCATGTGCAAATAGGCTAAATTTCCTAAAATAACATTAAAAAAAAACTATGGCAAGAAAGGTGGCAAAATGGGGCAAAATTCGCTTAGCAAATGACTCACTTAATAACAGAAATGTTGGGCTCAGTTGGGGCCATAAGGACTACCTACTGCTTTAGGCTTAAAGCTGGAGACAAGAAGAAGCCTCCACTATGGGGACACAACTAGGGAAAAAAAGGTAACTGTGGCATGTCAGATGTAAGTAAAGGTTGATGAACTATTATAGATTCTCTTGACCTTTTCTAAGCCCTGTGCTTGTTGGGGGACGGAAAGAAACAGTGTGGCAATCCCCAAGGGGATTAAAAAAAAACACCATTCTGTGCCTGTATCTGCTGCCAGTGATGGGTTACTATTTTGCGTGAGCAGGGGGTTGGACTAGATGACCTCCAAGGTCCCTTCCAACTCTTGCTACTGTTTACTGTCTCTCCTCCATCTCTCACTCCTCTTGATCCATCTCGACAAGCGAGAACAGCAGCGACGCCTGCAGGGTTGTGGTGTTGTGAGTCCGAGGGTTGTGACTCCTCGCCCCCTGCTCCCTTACAGATTTGCACCTTTGAATAATCCATTCCTCCCACCCCTCCACCTCCCGGCCTTTTCTGACTTTGCTAAAGTTGGACCCTGAGTCCCTCCTCCTCCCCCCCTCCCAAATCTGGAAGGAAGAGAGAGAGAGAGGATGCAAAGAAGGGGAGACGCGGCTAGTGATTAGAGGCGGCGGAAAGTATCAGAGCAAAGAGGGAGGAGCCCAAAGGGCGCCCAGGCAAGTGGGCTGGCCCTACACAGCCGCCTTTCCTAAGATCTGGCCGGGAGCAGGAATTGGCCGCCAGGGGGCAGCAGCGCGCAGAGAGCCTGAGTTTCTGATTCAGGCGGGCAACAGGTTGGTTCGACTTCCCCGCTTCTCGCCTTAAGCATTCAGTCCGGCGCTCATCCTGGCCAAGGGCAGCGAGGAGTCGGGACGGCTTCTGCAGCCGCCTGGGGGCTGAGAGTGGCCGACCAGGGCTTAGGAAGGCAGGGGGAAGCGCTTCCTCCGTTTCCCGCAAGAAGAGCAAGGCGGGACTGGCGGAACCCTTCAAGGAGAAAAGTTTGCGGCAGAAGTTTGGGGCGCTGATCCAACACCTGCGAGCAGGTGTATCTTTTCCCCCTTCTTCTTTTCCTGGGGAAGCCAAGCAGGTACGGCCCCCGAAGCCTCCTTCCGAGGTGTCTGCGGGACTCTCTGACCCCCGGGACGGGCGGATTCTGGGGACGGACAAGCAGTCAGCCCGGCATGGAGCGGCGGTGGCCAGCCAAGCACGCTTGAAGCCTTCCCGGATCCAGCCGCTTTTCTTCCACGCGAAACGCGAGTGGAGGAGCCGAGCAACGAGGCTGCCTGCCTGCCCAGCCGGAGGAACCCTCCCCTCCTTTGCACCCAGCACCCAGGAGTAAACACACATCCCCGGTTGGTTCCGAGGATGTGACGAGCCGAAGAGTTGGATGTCCACGGTGCAGAGGCTGCGCCGCGCCCGTCCCGTCCAGCTTTAGGTCTACCCAGGTGCGCGGATCGCGAAACTTTTCGGGCTGTGCCAGGGAAGATGAAAGCCAAGGAAGTGACCGGGGATCCCTCGGCTGCCTCCACCTCTTCCACCCAGGATGGGTCAGTCCTGCTGGTACCGCCTCACCCGTCGGATCGGGATCCTTTCGCTGGAAGGGAGAGGGTCGAGGCCATCGACCTGACCCTCGACGGCCTTCTGTACGCCCGGAGCAGCGAAGACGAGGAGGACGAGGAAGAGGAGGAGGAAGACCAGGACGAGGAAGAAAACGCCCGTCTGAAGGAACGAGACCAGCTCTCTGGCTCCTCCTTGGTCCAGGAAAGTCCCGGCTTGCCGTCGGGCAAAGACGCCCTGGACCGGGTCCTGGATACCTTCCTGACCTCAGCTTCTGGCAACTCGGACAGCCCTTCGGCGGCGTGGTCATCTTTCTTCGGCTCGGAGATCCCCGAATTGGCCTCAGGGCTCCCCGCCCGCCGCTCCCTCGACGGCAAAGAAGAGGGCGCGCCCCCGGACGCCGCTTCCCTGCTGCCGCCTCCGCCTCTTTCTCCCCGGGCCACCGCCTCTCCTTCCCTTTGGAAGGCGGTTAAAGATGCGGAGGGAGCTCCTTTTAAGAGCCCGAGGGGCAGGGCCCCGGCCCCCGCAGCCTCGACGGCGCTGCCTAAAGGAGGACAGCAGCAGGAGGGGGAAGAAGAAGAAGGAAAGCTGGTTCCCGTGGCTGGCCGCGCCGTAGAGCCTCCCGCCTCTTCCCCTTCTTGCAAGCTCCTGGCGGGGCGCTCCCCCCTGGCCGCCCCCTCCGCCTGCCCTGAGTTTCTCAACGTGCCCATCCTGCCTCTCAACCCGGCTTACTTGGTCGCCCGGACGCGGCAGCTGCTGGACGTGGACGAGTGCCAGGAGTGGAGCCCTTTCTGCGGGCACCCAAACGCCGCCGCCTCGCCCGCCTCCTGCAACCTCCAGGACTTCCCCGGCTTCGTCTACCCGCCCAAAGAAGGACACCCGCCGCCGTCGCCGCTTCCCCCCCCGCCGCCGCCGCCTCCTCCGCTTTATCTCTTGGGCTCCGTCGGGGACTTTCAGCCCAGCTTCAAGATCAAAGAGGAGAGCCTCGCGGCGGCCGTGGCCAATAACGGCAGCGACGGCGGGGCGAATTTGGGGCCCGGGACTTTGCAGGCTGCCCCGCTGCCCTGCCCGGACTACGCTCCGTCGATCGCCGCCTCTTCGCTGCCCAAGAACAATAGCATGAGCAGCCTGGAAGCCGCCGCAGCCGCCGCTGCCCCGTCGTCCAGCCTGGATTGCGTCCTCTACAAGGCGGAGGTGGGTTCCGGCGCCCTCTCGGGCTCCTACGGACTAGCGCCTTACAAAGCCTCCGCCGCCAGCGCCCTGGCGCCGAGGGAGACTCTCTCGTTGCCCTCCACCTCGGGCGCCCCGCCTCAAGGCCTCTACCAGCCTCTCGGCTTCCAGGGCCAGCAGCAATTTTATTCTCCTTACCTGGGCTATATCAGGTAAGTGGGGCTAACCTCATTAAAACGTAAATACACAAGCGGGGAAAAAAATGACATCAGTGGAACTCAGAGTAGAAATAAAATGTAAACAGGGGAAATTATTTGCGTGAAAAGATAAAGTTGGGGTCGCTGAAATGCCCCCTAGAGCAGTGTTTCTCAACGTTAGCAACTTGAAGATGTCCGGACTTCAACTCCCAGAATTCCCCAGCCAGCGAATGCAAATGCTGGTTGGGGAATTCTGGGAGTTGAAGTCCGGACATCTTCAAGTTGCTAAGGTTGAGAAACACTGCCCTAGAGAATCCATCAGAGAAAGCAAATAAGTAAGGGCAACAAGGGAAAGGAGGGGGGATGAGGAGGGAAAAGGAGAAAGGGTAAAGCAGAGGAAGTAAGGGAGTGAAAGTAAGAGTAGGAGAGAGGGTAAGAAAGAGGGGAAAGAGAGGGAAAGAAGAAAGGAGGAAGGAGAGGAAGAAAGAAGAAGGTAGAGAAAGGAGGTTGGGAAGAAGGAAGGAGTAAGGTTGTTGCAAAATAAGATGGAGCCACGGGGTGGGCAAAAAAGGGACCCAAACTGTATTATGTATGCGTGTAAAAATGAGTATAGAGTCTAATGATGAACAGACAAATGCTAAATAGCAATTGTAAGAATGTATATCTATGAATGAATTTGAAAGGGAAAAAAAAATCTGTTTTAAGAAAAGGTAAGTGGGACTTCTTCGACCCACCTGGCTCAAAGGAGCTTCCCTCGATTATCACATGATATAACCAGTGGCAAAGAATTCTACACACACAATTTACCCATCTATTATTTCCGATGAATGATCACAATGTGCCCTTAAGTCAGTTTTCGATTCTTGGGGACTACCCTGGCAGATCCATATTCTTTCCAGCTGTAGGGAAAACCGACTCACAGTAGCCGCTTCGAAAGCGACAAGGGGGCAGAAGGAGTGAATGAATCCAGATTAACTGGCTTTCAGAAGTTGTGGGAGCTTCTAACACAGGAGGCTTTTTAAGAAGAGAGTCATTTGTTTAAAATGGTACGGGTCTCCTGCTTGAGCAGAGGGTTGGACTAAAAGACCTCCAAGTGTCCTTCGTATTCTGTTAATTATAGATTTTGAGGCTCATTGGTGCCCGAAGCACTGACAAATCTTGGTGCCCCCCCCTCCTTTGTACGTGCTGTACAAATCTTCATTGGTGTTTTTCCCCCCCCTCTTTCTCACCTTTGTGGTTTTCCTTTGGGCCTGGTGCCCTAAGCAGGTGCTTAGTCTGCTTAATGGTTAATACACCACTGGATACAACCCTGCTTCCCCCTGCCCTCGCCCCCCCCCCCGAAGATGCCCTGTCAGTATGACTGGCACCTCTCAAGTTATGGAGAACCACCGTAAACAAAGAACTTCCTGTCCTTTCTGCCCCAGGAGGCGCATTAAAAAGCTCAGTGAGAATTTCTTTTAATTCGATATTTTATCAGTAAGTGGGAAAGATAGTGATTTGTCTCCTCAAAATCTATAATTGACAGAATAAGAAGGAAACTTGAGTTACTTATAAAGTAATGAAGGTGGGATGCGACTCTAATGAATAAAATAAATAAATGAATTAAGCACAGTTAGATCTCGTAAGGATGGGATTTGGAGGTCTTCTAGTCCAACCCCCTGCTCAAGCAGGGGAGCCTATACCATTTTGTTCAATTTCTTCTTGAAAGCTTCCAGTGTTGGAGCATTCACAGCTTCTGAAAGCCAGTTAATCTGGGGTCTGGATTCGTTTACCCCTCCTGCCCCCCTTGACGCTTTTGAAGTCTAGCAGCTACTGTGAGTCAGTTTTCCCTACAGCTAGAAAGAATATGGATCTATCAGAGTAGCAGCCAAGAATTGAGAATGACTTAAGGGTACATCATTATCCTTAGTAAGAAATAATAGATGGGTAAATCGTGTAGAATGCTTTGCGATGTGT